ATGCCGCGATGGATCTGCATATACTATAGATGGGGGTAGAGAGAGAGAGAGAGAGAGAGAGAGAGAGAGAGAGAGAGAGAGAGAGAGAGAGAGAGAAAGAGATACACACCTATATATATATATAGAGAGAGAGAGAGAGAGAGAGAGAGAGAGAGAGAGAGAGAGAGAGAGAAGAGAGAGAGAGAGAGAGAGAGAAGAGAGAGAGAGAGAGAACGATATATGTGTATATATATATATGTAGAGAGAGAGAGAGAGAGAGAGAGAGAGAGAGAGAGAGAGAGAAAACAAAAGAGAGAACATAGAGAGAGAGGGAGAAACACATATAGACATGGAGAGAGGGGGTCGGAGTAGATGGGGTCGGGGGATCGTGCCGCATCGCCGATGTATCGCCGATTCGGCACGATGTGCAGCCTGATTCGCTTCGCGCCGACGTCGCCCATGCATCGCCGATGCATCGCTGATGTATCGGCGATGCGGCGCGATCCTCCGACCCCATCTACTCCGACCTTATTCAGGATTGCGGGACGGGAAAATGACCACAGCCACTGCTTCTTGTTTGCGCCGCCTTCCAGCCGGCCGAACAAGAAACAGTGGTTGTGGTCACTTCCCTGGTGCCAAGCCTAACGAAGATGACCACAACCACTGCTTTGGTTCTGCTGGCTGGAAGGCGGCAACAAAAGAAAAGCAGCGGCTGTGGTCGCTTTCGCGTCCCGTCAGGATGCCTCTGGCCCAGTGCCGGCCTGGGCGGCGCGGGGTGCCCAGACACGCGGGCGAGGCGGGCGCCCGGGCCGAGGGCCAGGCGGGCCGCGGGCCAGGCGGCGGCGGCGGATGGTGGGTCTCTCTCCCTCCCCCCCCCCACCCCTTTCTCCTGTGCGCATGCTTTGTGGGACTCGTGGTTGGACTGCGAGAGAGAGAGAGAGTGAGAGAGAGACCCACAGAGAGTGAGAGAGAGAGAGAGCGAACCTGGGTACACAGACGATAAACATGTATGTATATACACATATCCATATGTATGTATAGTAAAAGGTTTGTGTGGGCGTAAGCAGATGTACATACACATGCGTTTATCTCTAGATTCACAAAGAAAGTGAACTACAGAGTTAGAGGGAGCAAGGTAGAGATGTAATACTAATGATGATGACAGGGAAGGGGGTGGAGAAGGAGAGAGAGAGAGAGAGAGAGAAAGAGACAGAGAAAAGAGATACCGATATATATATATAGAGAGAGAGAGAGAGAGAGAGACGGAAAGAAAAAGAGAGAGGGAGAGAAAGAGAAAGAGAGAGAGAGGGAGAGAGAGAGAGAGAGAAAGAGAGATATTACTATCATGATGTGGGCGAGTTTTTTCGGCACGCCGTATATTTACACATATATATATATATACATATATAAACTGAGAAAGAGGGAGAGAGCGAGAGAGAGAGAGAGATAACTATATCGATATATATAGATCGATATATATATATATGTATATATGTATTCATCATACATACATCGATCAAATGCAAATATGGAGAGAAACGGGGGGAGACTATATATATATATGTGTATATATAGCTATATAAATAGAAGGAGAAAGAGAGAGAGAGAGAGAGAAACACGGAGATAAAGCGAGAGAGTGCGAGAGTGAGAAAACAATAGTACATAAAACCATATACACCGAGAGAAAGAGAGAGAGAGAGAGAGAGAGAGAAATATAACACATACCGAAAGAAACAGAGACAGAGAGAGAGAGGAAGTGAGAGAGAGAGAGAGAGACGTCGGTAACGTGAAAGAGAGTGCAAGTAACACAGGGGGTGGCAGAGAGAGAGAGGGAAAGCGAGGGAAAGAGAGGCAGAGAGAGATATAGCCAGAGAGTGAGAGGGAGGGAAAGACACGTAACGACACTTGCACATGTGTGTCGACATTCACATGCGGTACATGGTCACGTGCATACATATGGAAGTCGTGGGGCACCCACGCATGAAGGTTGTCAGCGCTACTTTTTGATGTTGTATATATACACATATCGGAATGTTGCTTTTGTGTGTCTATGCAGATAGGCAGAGGCAGATACTCGTGTTAAGAGCAGGACCGCTTGCACACCTCCGGCGGAACACGGAGTACATGCGATTGCTGCAGCGGTTGATGCATCGTTGGTGACCGCTGCGTGCAAGACGCTAGAATTGTGAACATCGGGATCGCGTCTCCCGCAGATCGCGACGCCACGCTCCAAACGTCAGTTTCAGTTTTAACATTTTGTGTTGGACGCGCTCAATGCCACGATGGGCCCCAATCGCTTTTTCTGTACACGCACCCTGTTTCTGATCGATGACAGGTGCGTGGCTGTAACTAATTTCGGCTGGACGCGTTGAAGACACGTAAGCCACAGCTCCTTGCGCCTGCTTATCCCGTGCTGGTGAATGCTTGATGTTGTACGGGCCAGGCTTGATGGTATCTGCATTCGAACGTGCGGCCGTTGTTATCGCGAACCTGAGCATACATGTTCCACCGGGCATGTCTGTGTAATAGGTGAGTGAATCTACACCTCTGATTTGTGTGTACATACATAAACGCACCAGAGGGAGAGAAGAGAGAGAGACAGAGAGAGAGATGCACGGAACGAGAGAGATCGAGAGAGACTGGTTCCCTAACATAGCATACTGTTGTTCCTTGTGCTTGTATGTTTATCGTCTTCATTTTTTCCAGAAGGCTTGCCGCTGGCCAACTTGATATATTCTGGGCGCTCCTGGTAAGTACCTCCTGCCAAGGTGCCAAGTATTCGCGTCTTCGACGCTCAGGAGTTTCCTGATCCCCTCCCCAGCGTGGCCCACACTATCTGAAACAGAGGCTCAAGCTCGAGCGCACAATGTCATCTAAACGCGTAGTGCAAGCGGCTCAGCAACAGCGACTCGCTTCCGACTTCTTTGTATGTTACGCATTGTTTCCGCTCCTGCCTGATAGTCAGCAATCGTTTGCTCAGGATCGCGCTCTTGCCCGGGACCTCCTTACGCTTTGCGGATGAATCGCGCACTCGACGATCATGAACCGCGCTCTCACCCGACTCGCCCGTCAGAGTCCGCCCGCGCGACCCGCTTGCTGGGCCCCCACCCGCCAGACTCGCCCGTAGAGGCCCGTCCGCCCGCCCCATCCGCCAGGGCGCTTGCCTGGAGTCCCGCCCGCCGGCTGCAACGCCCCGCCTGCCCGACCCGCTCGGTAGGGTCCGCCCGTGCGGTCCGCCGTCTTACCTTCCGACCGCGAGATCCAGACCCGACCTTCGACGACCAACGATTCAGGCAACTCGGTGGGCGGCGTGGTAGGGTTCGGTGAGCACGTGGCGAAATCCGAACCCTACCCCTGCCTCGCATCGGTTCAGGAGCATCGATGGTTGGTGGGGGTAGAGTTCGGATGTCACCAGCTAGCCTTGTCGGGCTTTGCCAAGTCGCTGGTGTTAAATGAGATCCCCCGAAGGGGGTGGGCACGTTCGCAGACGGAGAGGGCGGCTACAAGGGAGCGGGAGAAGCACGTGAAGGGCAATGCAGGTTGCCAGATCGACTGGTCAGGAGATGATTGCTGGTGTCTGGAGTTGGGCCCACCCTCCAGTATCGAGGATGTCGATTCTGGAGGAGGTCTGGGCCGGGAGAACATCCGTCGTGCCTTCAAGATGCCAACTTCCCAGCGGATGGGAAGGCAAAGCTGGGGGGAGGGGGAGAGTGACAGGGTCAGAACTAGCCAGTGAGGTAGGGAGGCAGGTAGGGAGGGAAGAGCGGGATGGGACGGCTGCGTCGCCGCGGTGTATTGGTGGGTCCTCAACGAACGTGACCGTGTGCAGGACGACCGCGTGTCATGGTAGACCAGAATCGCAAATGCAAGACTTTAGGTGGGAGCTCGTCATGTGATTTGGGAGCGCGTCTGTGGAGCGTGGCGCTAGTTGCAGCCCGACCCGGCAGCTCCAGAGCAGCCGAGGGTTGCGCAGGATTTTGGGAGCATGGGGACGTGCAGCAGGTCATCGGGAGGGGAAACAACACACAGACACATGTAATCGTCGATTCCCAGGGAAGTATTGGAACACATGGCCAGTGGGGAGGATGACGAAAACCCGGAAAAATGGAAACATATGGGGAATCCAAGGATTTGTGTCTATTTATTTTTGTGTGTCCCTGGGCCCCGTCAGCTCAGGGTACCAAGCCGCGCTGATACTGCGCGGTGGTCGTGTGCAGCGAGTGTTGGGCGTTTCTCGCGAGGGGCAAGCGTAGGGAGCGGCCCACACACGCAGAGCCACGTGTTGGCTTGAGGTCAGCCAGAAGCAGGGGGGGACAGAGCGGGATGGCGAAGCAGAGGGGGGGGGTAGAGGGTCAAGAGGAATGATAATACCGGGAGCTCCATTCTCTCTTCTTCTGTGGCCGTCGGTCCGCGGGCCCCCGATCTCGACCTCTCGACCCCGTCTTTGAGATTGCCCTTTCATGTGTACAGTGCCGTTTTTAACACACGCTCCGCGTGCGGATCATGTATTAAGAATGCTGGGATTTAGTATTAAAAGCAACGAGGAGTTCATGCATACATTCATCCATAAATGAACCATGTGTTAAACATTCAGTATTCACATCCCGTGTCCGGCCCGAGGTCCGAGAGCGGCCCTCACGCTTCCAGCGGCGTGAACAGACGTCCGTAACCGTTCCAGGCACACTGGAGTTCTCCGGGCTCTCCGGGAGCGTCTTTTCTGACCAGCGCGCGTCGACGGGAATCCCCGGCCGCCGCGGCGGAGGGCCTCGCGGAGAGGCCCCCCGAACAGACACAGGAGAGCCAGTCTGGGCACCCCGATCCTCGATCTCTGGGCCTGTGGCCCAGGCTCTGAGGCTCGGGCCCTGCAGGCCGGGGCCCTCGACGTCGAGCTCGGGCTCTGGCCCAGCCCCGGGCCCGGGCCCGGGCTCGGGCTCGGGCTCGGGCTCGGGCTCGGGCTCGGACCGGGGCTCAAAGCTCGGGCTCGGAGCTCCCGAAACGCCCGAGGGGCCGTGGGGGCTTGCATGGCCCTCCGCCGCGCGTGGCCGCGGATGACTGCCGCTCCCCAGGAGGCCGCCGCCGTCGACGCCCTGATCCTCTTCACTCTGGCGGGCGGCGGGCGGTCGACGAGGGCGAGCGGCGGCAGCGTCGGGCCCCACGGGGGGAGGGTCTGTGCAGCCGCTGCTGACTTTTGGGGCCTCCCCGACGTGGTTAGAGCAGACAGGGCCCGAGGGCCGAGCCGCATCGCTGACGCAGCCGCAGGGCGACCTGTTGTGGTGCCCGATTTGCTCCACGCCGACGGCGCCGAAGCGTCGCCGACGTCGCCGATGCATCGGCGATGCACGGGCGATGCGGCGCGATCCTCCGGCCCCACCTGCTCGGATCCCACGTTGGGAGGCCTCCACCCGGGGCGAGCGGCGGCGGCGTCGGGCCTCGGCGTCGAGGAAGGCGCGGGCGGGGAGGTGCGGCGCGTGGGCCTGTGGCGGGCCCCGCTTCCGTGCAGGGTCGGCGCGGACCTTTCGCCGGACGAGGCGGCGCTCTGGCCACGTGTTTCCGGGGGCACCTCTTGCGATCCGTGGATCTGGCTTTAAGTCGGGCGTGTCCCTCTACAGGAGGAACATCCAAGAATAGTAAACACATTGTCTGGGGACGATGGTTTGACCATTTGGGAATCTGTTTTGGATCCTTTTCTTGACTGTTTTTAGATTTCTTCCAAAATCCGCCTGTAGGAGGACATGCCCGACCTAAATCTGGCTGGCGCCCACGCGCCACGCGCCGGTCCCACGGATCCACACTCCGCGCTGGGGTGCGCCCACTTCTGGGGGGGGTCGGTGCAGTCCCTGCCGACAGGAGGCGGTTTCTGGTCTCGACGCATTGGCTGGCCCGTGGCTGGCCAGAGCAATCGCGTCGGGGGGGCGGCAGCAGTGGCCGTCCCGGCTCGGAGCGCGCAGCAGCCGCGCCCCTCCGAAACACTGGGAGAACCCGCGGGAACAGAGGCAGAGGTCTTTGGCTCGGCGAGGACGTCTCAAGCGAATCTATGATGCTGGGTTCACTCATCACCGAGCGCGCTCCACGACTCGCAGAGGGCCTCCTCGCAGGTGTCAGGAAGACGCAGGTCTTCCTGTGTGTAATGGACCGCAGATCCCTCGCGGCAGAGTCGGGCCATCTGCGAGCAGTCACTTTCTGCGGGCAGCGGAACGCGCTTGTTCGAGTGAGGAGCGCTGCAGGGGACCCTGCAGGACACCGCTGGAAGCATCGTCGAAGCCGCTGTCTCGGAGGAGGCAAGCCTTGTACTGACAGGTCGCAGGCGGGAGGCCCCCCGCGCCCGCCCACGAGCGTGCGACCCCGGCGGCCAGGCCCGCGCGGCAGCTTAGGATGTCACGGGGAGCTCGCCGACATCATCCCGTGATCGGTGACGCCGACGCGCGCCCTCAGCATGTCATCACCCCTGCCCATCGGCATCGCCGTCATCGTCACCGCGTCGGTTGCCGCCCTCGTCGCCGCCGTCACCACTCCTCGCCATCGCCGTGACAGGCGTGAGCACGAGTACCGAGCAGAAGCACGCACGAATCATCGAACGAACCGCGCTCCCCTCCTCTGTGGCAGGTGATGCAGCAGGGGCGTGATGGCTTTCGAGGGGGCATCTGTCTTCCAACAAGTCTGTTGCTTGTAGCAAAAATAGGCACGGTTACAATTGGATAATGTTGGACAGGTGAAGGCATTCGGACAGTGCGCCTCGTCTGCCTTCTAGGATTGCCCCATGGCCTCGCCGCTGCCCCATTGCGCTCCAAAGTCTTAGCGCTGGGTCAGTCAAGAGGTCTTCTTCGACGAGGGAGTGCCGCTTTTGTCTGGGGTTCAGGTGGGTGACGTGAGACCTCGCAAGGCCGACCGCGCGGACGGTCTCGCGTAAGTTGGCCGCGTAACGTCGCGCGTGGGCGCCCTCGTTTTCCACGCGGTGCCGCACCAGTTCCCTGCTTCGGGCGCCCGCGCGAGGCCACTGTGGCATCGTGAGCAGTATGGTTGTTCTTCCGTCGTCGCCGATCGAGCTGGCTGGCTGTGGCGAAGTAGGCAGGGACTGCCCCTTCCCCTCTCCGTGCGCTGCCGACTGGCACCCGCACCTGTGCGCTCCCCTGCCTCCTCAGGGGAGGAATCCTGGGGGGGGGGGGGGGCGCTGTGGGTGTTCGGTGTCGGATGGGAATCCCCGCTCGCTCGCCCCTTCTTCGGGGTCCGACAGCCCGCGCCCATACTTTTTTTTATCGCGCATCGTAATCGCGAGGCGCGGGTTGGCCGCCACCCCTCTTAGTAGGCATGAGGGTGTATTGCGGGCGCGCGCAGGTGGATCCTGGCGTCAACTCCGCCCTTGCGGGGGGCTTGGGCGGCATGCGGCGGGCGGGGGGGGGGGGGGGGGGGGGGGGGGGGGGAGGGGAAAGGAAGGAGAAGGAGGAGGAGGAGAGGAGGAGGAGGAGGAGGGAGGAGGGAGGAGGGGGGGGGAGGGGGACAGGGGAAACAGCCTCGGTTTGCCAACGCCGCGGCAGGTTCTCCAGCTTTCTGGGGGGCAGCTTACCCGTTCCATCATGCTTCGACTACTTTTGGCTCCCTACACCTTAGGCGATGCTTAAGAAAACTTAAGTTTTCGTCCAGGGTCTCGATTATTCTTAACTTTTCAATGCCAATCCTAAGATTGGAATAGAAATGTTGGGTTTTTACTCAAGTTCTGAGACTATGGTTTTCTTAACCCATGATTTCTAAAGCATTTCGCAGGGTGCACGTCAGGTTATCATCCACCACACAGGTGACGTCACCACCATTACGACTTCGTCATCCGCCAACCCATCGTGGCATCGACGGGATTGAGATCGACGAGCAGTACCACGCGTACTACCTATACGACCGCCCTGCGGGCGATAAGGGGGTTGGGGGGGGGATTGAGATCAAATGCCCACCCTGACTGACCTCCAGCCTGTCACTGTGATCTCATCTCTCTCTCTCTCTCTTTCTCTCTCTCTCTCTCCCTCTCTCTCCAGGCGCCGACAAAAATGTATTGATGGATTGGGTTGGGTGGATTGGATAGGATGGGATAAGATGGATTGGGTAAGATAAGATGGATTGAATTGGGAGAGATGGATTGGATAAGATAAGATGGATTGGATTGGCCCGTCGCAGGCGCAGAAACAAATCAATTGATGGCTTGGGTTGGATGGATTGGATTGGGTGGGGTAAGATAAGATGGGACAATATGGGTTGGATAAGATGAGATGTATTGGATTGGACAATATGTATTGGATAAGATAATCTGGATTGGATAAGAAAGCCCGCCGCAGGCGCCGACAAACATGACTTGATGGATTGGGTTGGGTGGATTGGATGGGATAAGCTAGATTGGGTCAGATAAGATGGGTTTGATTGGAATAGCTGTACTGGATAAGATAAGATGGATTGGATTGGCCCGCCGCAGGCGCAGAAACAAATGAATAGATGAATTGGGTTGGCTGGATTTGATTGGGTGGGATAAGATATAAGATGGGACAACAAGGGTTGGATAAGATAAGATGGATTGGATTGAACAAGATGGATTGGATAAGATAAGCTGGATTGGATAAGAAATCAGCGACATGCGTTAGCGCCAGGACGCCCGGGACACCCGGAACACCGCCCGGCCCAACTGGGTCACCTCCCAGCCACCGGTGGACGGGAAACGGACTTTCGCTCCTACTCACACCCGGGACACCCGGGACACCGCTCGGCTCAACTGGGACACCTCCCAGCCACCGGCGGACGGAAACGGACTTTCGCTCCTGATTCGGAACTGCTTCGGACTTTCGCCTCGCCCGCACGCACGACACGAACACGAAACCGAAACCGATTTCCCGGTGAGGGGTCTCCGTTTCACAAGATCTCACCCCCCAACCTCTGACCACGAGTCGCGTCAGTACGGGCCCTTCTCGACCAGCACACGCAGCACCAGCTCCACACTGCTCAAGAATTACTTGAAGCACACCGCAGTGCACAACGACCACCGCGACAGCCACCACATGCTGCCACAACGCCGACACCTTGGTCACAAACATCCAACCGAACGCCGAGCAGAGGCCCACCTACCCGGCCCACGACACCAGCGACCGGCGCAGGTGTGGACCGCGCCTACTGGAGCAAGGGCACCCACAGCAAGGGCAAGGGCACCAAAGGCAAGGGTATAGGGCAGCCCCAACAAGCCATGCGGCGTCTACGCCGAGGACGACGACACCCACCCCAACAGGAGGAGGAATCCCCCGCCAAGAAGAAGCAGCGGGACGCCAACGAGGGATACGACGACCAACTCACCAGGATCATCGACAGTGTCATGCCCATGCGGAAGGCCTGACGCCAGTAGAGGGCCAGATGGGGACACCACCGTGTGACCTTACGCTTAGCCGATGGGGCCACCAGATGACCACTGGTGAACCGCCGATCGAGCCCAGTCGTTGACCGCAGGCCCCCAACAACCTGCCTGGACTGGGCCGACTGGTGCCAGCGGGCCTCCTCCGTCCGTTTCCCCCCGCTTCCCTCCAGAAGGACGACGCGACGACGAAGGAAGACAACGAAGTGCGACGACGGGCGCCGACGAGCGACGATCGATGAGCGACGGCGAGGAGCGACGCCGCTGCCGCCGAGGGCTGGCGATTCCATCCGTGAGGGCGGGCGGTGGGGCGGAGGAAGTGTCAGGCTCTGAGGGCCGGTGAGCGAGGTCCTGTGTGAGGCCTTTCTTGTTGTTGGGGGTCCTCCTGGGGCCTCCGGAGAGGATTGTTTCATCGCCGCCTCTCTCCTGGAGGGCGGGCGAGTGAGGAGGAGGGATGAGGATCGAGGATGGGCGAGCAAGCTTTTGAGCGCGAGATGCCCCGCGAGGTTGCCCGATAGGGCACATACCATCACCCTTGGCCCCTTTGGATCCCCTCTGGGGCCATCCGTTAACAATGGAGAGGTACAGAGAATAACTGTCAGCATGGCTCATGCGCAAGGATGACACGCGCAAATAGACGCATGGATA